ATATAGGAGAGGAAGAGAGGAGGTAAAGAGGGAGGTGAATGAGGGGAAAGAACAGCAGGAGGAAGTGCAGGAGAGGGAAGATGAGGAGGGAGGAGAGGGCTGTCGACAGCTGACAGGAGAGGGGAAAAAGTGAGGAGACGAAAAGAAGAAGTGAAGGACGTCAAAGAGAGAAGCTGCAGGACTCCAGAACAGAAGTCCCGATTCGCCGTATCCTCGGAGACGAGGTCGACAGGAATCACGAGCTAGGAATTCTTTTCCCGACGAATCTGAACTTCTCCGCAGATCGGCTGTCCCCGAACGTTACTTCAGTATCCATTAAAGGGCCAATCCAGTGGTTTTCCACGCTGTAGCCCATTAGCTTCAAACCCCGTACGCTCAAACACAACTGCAGAACATTTTTCCAGCATTGACCGAAACTGTCTTCACTGATCTCTTAAAAGGCAGCCATTTGTTTTAATCATTACAGCTCAGAATAAATATCAACCGGCAGGAGAAAGTGGAGAAACAGCCCGGCTCTGTTTGTTTAATCCATACGAAAACGATAAAATTATTTTATTCCTCAGGACCGAACTATCTGGAGTCTCCACCGGTTGCAGGGTAGCTTTCAATCAGTGCTAAGCTTCATATTCTGACACATTGTAAAAGCAGATACGTTCCTTTAACTCAAAGAATAGTTTTAACTGATTAAATCAAAATATTTAAGTCACACAAACTCATTTTTTTTAGGTTAATTTAGATCCTTGACTAAGCAGCTTTTACTAGTAATTTTAAGTGGCACTAACTTAGTTTTATAAGTTACAGAAACATTCCCGATTAACAACTTTCTACTCTGCATTTTGTTTTCACAGTACGAATAAAAATCACAAAATTAAGTCATTTTCGCTTAAAATTACTAAAACTACTTGATCAAGAAGATTTTTAGCTTACAAAATGTAGTTCATTTCAAAACATTTTTGAGTTAAATGAACGTATCTGTTTTTTATAGTGCACTCAGTAAGTAGTAGTTGCTTAAACTAAACAAAGTTGTCATCAAACCTCATAAGAGGTTCAACACAATTGTTCCAATATTGACATTCTTGGCAACAGGGTGGCCCTAAACATACCTCAACCATCATTTACGTGCCATTGCCATTGTGCACTTACACGCTGGTATTGCAAGTAATCAGGGGTTTTGCTGATTTATCCAGAATGTATGTTCTTGATTCAGGTTCTGGCCCAAAATATAGAAAACAAACCACTGTGAGGGATTCATCTCCAGTCTCTGAACGTGGATTTAAAGATCAGAGATCGGGTGAATTTTTTAAAAAAGAATAAGAGGAGAGAACATCAAGTCTTGGACTGTCACTTCTCCTTGTTGTTATCTCTCAGTTCATCTCCGTCCTCGGCTCTCTCTCCGTCTTTCACTCCACTTTCTGACAGTAATGTCGTTCTCCCTGAACTCCTCGTACTATTTTTAGTAAATGCAACAACAAGGTTATAAACACAATAATGAGTTGGGGTTTTTAATGTTTTGGGTTTTTATTTCTTTTTTTCTCTATGTACTCCGGGGACCACAGATTGATGTTTGCATTCCTGAGTCAGTCCAGCTCCCTTCAGTCCTTATTGGAACAAACGTGATTACACAAGGATAGCTGTGGTCTGTGTGTGTGTGTGTGTGTGTGTGTGCATTATTTATGTTTGCCCCCTCAACACAGTGTATGACAGCCCCATACAGTCTGCCAAACCAATAAGACCAAATTATGTTGTCTCCTAATTCTATACAATCCTGTATTTAGTAATATATACAAATAAAGCACTTAATGGACCACAGCAGTGTGTGTGTGTGTGTGTGTGTGTGTGTGTATAAGAGGTTGTTTTGTGTGTTTTTGTGTATGTGCATTTTTTCCCCCAACAGTAATTGACTGTATGGTTCGTGCTCATTTGGATATCCTCAGTTGACGTATTAACAAAATCGGTTTAATTATCAGGCCATGGAGCTAATTTAAGTGAATGACATTAAATATTAGCTCTGTCGCTCTTTTTAAACATTGCCTTCCTTCCTCCGGTCATAATTACTGTGGCTGTTTGGGCCGAATCACAATTCTCTAATCTCTGCCTTCTTGTTCTGTATTGTTCGATACTTTGAAGCGTTACATCTCCGGGCGTCTGACAATTCTGAAACAAACTCTTTGATCGAATAGGTTGGTATCATGGTTTTGCGTACTCACAACATCTAAGGTTTAAACTGTAGACGATATAATCTGTGGTCTGTGAGAGTGACACCAACAT